GGGCAGGAGGGCAGGGGGTGCCAGAGCCCTGGCAGCCGCCCTCAGGGCCTGGCTGTGCCGCAGACAGGGGACAGGGAGGCCAGCTCCCACGGGCCACCTTTGGACGCCCACTGTGTCACCCGCACGGGCTCGTGTTTCCCCCTCAAACGGTGGAGTCAGTGGGACGCAGCCAGAGAGGGAGAGCACCGGGCTTGGAAACACCAGGGAGGACGTGGCGGCCACGCCGCATGCCTGCCCTCGGCCTCTGGCCTCCACTGCCACCCGGTCCCCACCCGGCCAGGGAGCCCACGGGGGGCCGGCTCTGAGCGGCCCAAGGATGGCTGCCCTGTTTCCAGGAACGAGCAGGCACATCCGGGGCGGGGAGCCTGTGGTCCTCTGGTCAGACAGCCAGCGCGGCAGATGCTCTCCAGGCTCTGGTATGTCCCTCCGTCTGTGACCACCACACAGGCCAGGGGCCCGGCGGACAGAGGCCATGGGTCCAGGGCACGCACTCCGGTGCCCTGGGACGGGCATCCCTGGCGTCCGGCCGTCCCGGCGCCACTACTCTCTCACTGCAAGCTCCCCCACCCAGTCCCCCTCGTAAACCCCTGGTGCCCCCAGACAGACCCCGCTTCCGCCCTCCTATGCTCTGCAGCCCCTTCCTACCCCCGTGCTCCCTTCGCCCTGGGACCCCTTGGCGCCCAACAGAGGCCAAGCCAGGGATGTCCAGTCCTCTCCCAGCTGGCTGAAGGCAGGGGCGCCTGACGGCCCATCGGGCCTCCTCTGGGGCGGCTCCCAGGCCGCCCGCTCCATCACCTGCCCTGAACCCCGGGACCCCTCCCGCAGGGGCGGTTGGTGGGCCATGGTGCTGCTCCAACCGCAGGTTCCTGCCTGCTCCAGGGTCTCCTTCCCCTTTCTCTGCCCAGGGTTTCTCTGCCTGGAAGGCAGCTGCTGGCCCCATGACAGTCCCCCCTGGGACTCCACGTCCCCGGGCGGCCCTCCAGCGCCAGCACCCCACCTGGTCTCGGGCTTCCCTTCCCAGCAGAGATGGCCATCCCGGCCCGCGCCGCCCCACCCGGGCATCCCCTGCCCACTCTCCGCCCTCCTTCCTCACCAGGTGGCCAGTCCCCTGCAGGGGCCCCCACTGCCCAACAGCAGCTCCCAGGCCCTGCTCCCGGCGACGACCTCGGGCTGGGGAGTCCAATGGGCAGAGAGCAACCCAAGGGTGTGCCCAGCACACATCATCCTTGCCTTAAAGTCAGCAGCTGGATTCAGAGCAGGAGGGGCGCGTCTCCCTTGAAAGGCTCCTGTCTCTCCACGAGGGGTTTCCCCCTTCCCCCCTTCCCTAAGAGCAGCCGGCCTTTAGCTCAGGCTGGTTTCAGCCGGTCTGTCTGGGGCGAGCCCAACTTAACAAGCACCCCACCCACCTACGCACATGTATGTATATACACACGCATGTACACACACGTGCACGCACACACACATGCACACATACATATACACACACGCACATAGACACACAGACGCGATCACAGGCACAGATACATGTCTACACATATATGTATACATGCATACACGTATATGTACAGCAGTTCAGGGCGGATTCATGGGCCCTACCCTCGCACCTGCTCACCCTCACCTGGGCCACCAACCTCTGCTCTTATCTCCCCCACCTGCCCGTTCTGGGCCCCTTGCAGCAGGCCTGCCACCCCATCCACCAGCTGTTCGTTTCCCCCCACTATCTGCTGAGCACCCTCTGGCAGCCCCTGAGCCAAGCAGCTGGTCTCCTGCTTGAGGTCAGGGTCAGTCTGCACAGCCCCATGTGGTGGGGCTGCACTTCCAGGAAGTCAGTACTGGGGCAGATTGGTCAGACTGCAGGGCTGTGGAAAGCTGCTGGGGCTGCTCCTGTTTAGATAAGTGGCCAGAAGAGGGGTGGGGCGTGCGGACCGTGCCCCGGCGGTGGGGGCGGGGGGCTGGCTGCAAGAGCAGCTTCCAGAGCAGGACAGAGCACGACACAACTCGTGAGACCCGTCCCCAGGGAAGTGCTGCCGGCCGAGAGGATGGGCCCCTTGTCGGCCATGGTGCTGCGATGCTCCCCCCGCTGCACTTCCCCCTCTGGAGAAGCCTGGCCTGGGTCTGGCTGACTGCTTGCCTCCCCTGGGGGCCCAGCCCTCTGCAGAGCCTGGCTAGAGGACAGTAAGTGCCTCAGGCCCATACGTTCTCCCAAAAGACAAAAGACGTCTGCACGCACAGTGTCTGCTTCTCCCAACCCCTCCTTGCTCCGCCACTGGGATTTGGGACCCACCATGGTCAGCACATAGAGGCATCCTCCTTGAGGGCCCTCTGGCTGCCATGTCGTAGACCCAGCAGGCCCTGGCAGACCACCTTGTTCCATCTCCCAGCAGCACTGTGCAGAGGTGAACTATCCCTAGTTCTTTACTTTTAAAATGTTTTAATGAAACGTTAACTAGGTCTAATGCACACCAGGTACCTGTGCACAGGTAAGGGGGAGGCCCTCAGATGGCCTCTGAGGCCCCCTTGCATGCTGTCTGGATCTGGCCGCAGGACCCAGGGCACAGGCTAACTGCTGGGCCACTGCCCTTCTGGCTCTGAGACGGTGGTGCACTCGCCTTATTTTGCTCTTTCCTCTCTGGCTTCTCCTCTCACATCCCTGTTGTTCTCCATCTGGGTCCCTAACTTGGGGTTTGCTGGGGTTTGGTCCTGGGCCCTTTCTCGCCCCATCACACACTCTCCATACAGATTCACCCAGTCCTGTTGATTCAAGAATCACCCCTATCCCCTGACCCCTCTGCCAGCTCCAGCCCAGACCTCTGGACCACACATGGACTGTCCACAAGGCATCTTCTCTTGGACATATAACAAGCACTTTAAGCGCAACTTGACCAGAACTGACCACATCATCAAGCCCCTTCATCATACCCCCATGCTGTAATCTTCCTTCAGAGTTCCCCATCTCAGAGAATGATCCCTCTTGTGGCCCAGGCCAGATATTTGAGTGTCATTCTTAACACACAATTTCCACTCCCTCCTACGTCTAATCAGTCATTGATAAGTTAAATATGCAGATTGTAAGCACAATAGCAATCATTGAAAAGATAAAACAGGGAGGCATAATAAATAAACCAACGGAGGACATAAATGGAATATGAAACAAAGTACTCAATCCAAAAGTGGGAGGAAAAGAGACAAAGAATAGATGAGATAAATAGAAAACAATAGCAAGATGGTAGATCTAGCCCAACCATATCAATAATCACATTAAATATAACTGGTCTAAACACTCCAATTAAAAGGCAAAGATTATCAAACTGATTAAAAATGCAAGAAGTGACAATATACTCTCTAAATGATATACACTTTAAACAAATAGATAGATTAAAAGCAAAAAATGAAAACAAAGTGAAAGAATGGAAGAAGATGTAAAATGAAAACACTAATCATAAGAAATTTGGGATGGCTGTATTGATATCTAAGTAGACTTCAATACAGGGACTCTTACTGGAGATAAAAAGATGACACTTCATATTGATAAAAGGATCAACTCAGAAGAATAAATAGACAAATCCACACTTATGATAGGTTATTTTGACACTCCTCTCTCAGTAACTGAGAAAAAAATTATTAAGGATACAGTAGACTTGAACAACATCAATCGACTTGCCCACACTGATGTCCACAGAGCAGCATACCCAACAAGAGCAGAATACCCATTCTTTTCAAGTACACATGAATAGTCTCCAAAATAGGCTATATACTGGGCCAGAAAGAAGGCTCAAAACAATTAAGAGGATTTAAATCATATAGAATATGTTTAAGAGGATTTAAATCATATAGAATATGTTCTTCAAATACAACACAACTAAATGAGAAATCAGTAGCAAAAGATATAAGCTATCTAAAGAATGCCCAAATATTTGGAAATTAAGCAACATAAGTATAACAAACTCAAGGTTAAATAGGTAATCAAAGGGAAATCAGAAAATATTTTGAACTAATTGATATGAAAACACAACTTATCAATATTTGTGAGATAAAGCTAATGCAGTGTTTAGAGAAAAACTTGTAGCTTTAAGTGCTGATACTGGGAAAGAGAAAAGGCCTAAAATCATTCATCTAAGATTTCACTTTGGGAAGCTATAAAACAACAACAACAACAAACTAAACCCAAGTAAGTAGAAGAAAGGAAATAAGAAAAGGTAAAAGTAATATAATAGAAAAATTACAACAGAGAAATATCAATAAAATGGAAGTTGGTTCTTTGAAAAGATCAATGAAGCTGGTAAACCTCTGGCTAAACTGATCAAGAAAAAAAAATCCAGACAAAGGATCATTCACTCCTTGATCAGCTGGAGGCAATGGAACTCAGACTGGATACAAACAGACTGACTTTAAATCCCAGCGCTTGCTACTTACTAGCTGTGGCCAGATGATCTCTGTGTTCCTCTTTATCCTCATTTTGTAAAACACACATGATACAAGATTATGTATTGGAGCCTGAATCAAGATGGCAGAGTAGAAGGACGTGCTCTTACTCTCTCTTGCAAAAAAACCAGAATCACAACTAACTGCTGAACAGTCATTGACAGGAAGACACTGGAACTCACCAAAAAAGATACCCCACATCCAAAGACAAAGGAGAAGCCACAATGAGAAGGTAGGAGGGGTGCAATCCAATAAAATCAAATCCTATAACTGCTGGTTGGTTGGCTCACAAACTGGAGAACACTTATACCACAGAAGTCCACCCACTAGAGTGAAGGTTCTGAGCTCCACGTCAGGCTTCCCAACCTAGGGCTAGGGCAATGGGAGGAGGAATTCCTAGAGAATCAGACTTTGAAGTCTAGCGGGATTTGATTGCAGGACTCTGACAGGACTGGGGGAAACAGAGACTCCACTCTTGGAGGGCGCACACAAAGTAGTGTGCACATTGGGACCCAGGGGAGGGACCCAGGGGAAGGGCCCAGGGGAAGTGACCCCACGGGAGACTGAACCAGACCTACCTTCTAGTGTTGGAGGGTCTCCTGCAGAGGCAGTGGGTGGCTGTGGGTCACCGTGAGGACAAGGACACTGGCAGCAGAAGTTCTGGGAAGTACTCCCTGGCGTGAGCCCTTCCAGAGTCCACCACTAGCCCCACCAAAGAGCCTGAAGGCTCCAGTGTTGGGTTGCCTCAGGCCAAACAACCAACAGGGAGGGAACCCAGCCCTACCCATCAGCAGTCAAGTGAATTAAAGTTTTACTGGGCTCTGCCCACCAGAGCAACACCCAGCTCTACCCACCACCAGCCCCTCCCAGCAGGAAACTTGCACAAGCCTCTTAGACAGCCTCATCCACCAGAAGGCAGACAGCAGAAGCAAGAAGAACTACAATCCTGCAGCCTGTGGAACAAAAACCACATTCACGGAAAGATAAACAAGATGAAAAGGCAGAGGACTTTGTACCAGATGAAGGAACAAGATAAAACTCCAGAAAAACAACTAAATGAAGTGGAGACAGGCAACCTTCCAGAAAAAGAATTCAGAATAATGATAGTGAAGATGATCCAGGCCCTTGGAAAAAGGATGGAGACAAAGATCAAGAAGATGTAAGAAATGTTTAACAAAGACCTAGAAAAATTAAAGAACAAACAAACAGATGAATAATACAATAACTGAAATGAAAACTACACTAGAAGGAATCAATAGCAGAATATCTGAGGCAGAAGAACGGATAAGTGACCTGGAAGACAGAATGGTGGAATTCACTACCGCAGAACAGAATAAAGCAAAAAGAATGAAAAGAAATGAAGACAGCCTAAGAGATCTCTGGGACAACATTAAACGCAACAACATTCACATTATAGGGGTCTCAGAAGAAGACAGAGAGAAAGGACCCGAGAAAATATTTGAAGAGATTATGGTTGAAAACTTCCCTAACATGGGAAAGGAAATAGTCACCCAAGTCCAGGAAGCGCAGAGAGTCCCATACAGGATAAACCCAAGGAGAAACATGCCGAGACACATAATAATCAAATTGGCAAAAATTAAAGACAAAGAAAAATTATTGAAAGCAGCAAGGGAAAAACAACAAATAACATACAAGGGAACTCCCATAAGGTTAACAGCTGATTTCTCAGCAGAAACTCTACAAGCCGGAAGGCAGTGACATGATATACTTAAAGTGATGGAAGCGAAGAACCTACAACCAAGATTACTCTACCCGGCAAGGATCTCATTCAGATTCGATGGAGAAATCAAAAGCTTTACAGACAAGCAAAAGCTAAGAAAATTCAGCACCACCAAACCAGCTCTACAACAAATGCTAAAGGAACTTCTCTAAGTGGGAAACACAAGAGAAGAAAAGGACCTACAAAAACAAACCCAAAACAATTAAGAAAATGGTCATAGGAACATACATATGGATAATTACCTTAAACGTGAATGGATTAAAAGCTCCAACCAAAAGACACAGGCTTACTGAATAGATACAAAAACAAGACCAATATATATGCTGTCTACAGGAGACCCACTTCAGACCTAGGGACACATACAGACTGAAAGTGAGGGGATGGAAAAAGATATTCCAGGCAAATGGAAATCAAAAGAAAGCTGGAGTAGCAGTACTCATATCAGATAAAATAGACTTTAAAATAAAGAATGTTACAAGAGACAAGGAAGGACACTACATAATGATCAAGCGATCAATCCAAGAAGAAGATATAACAATTATAAATATATATGCACTCAACACAGGAGCACCTCAATGCATAAGGCAACTGCTAACAGCTATAAAAGAGGAAATCAACAGTAACACAATAATAGTGGGGGACTTTAACACCTCACTTACACCAATGGACAGATCATCCAAAATGAAAATAAACAAGGAAACAGAAGCTTTAAATGACAAAATAGACCAGATAGATTTAATTAATATTTATAGGACATTCCATCCAAAAACAGCAGATTACACTTTCTTCTCAAGTGTGCACGGAACATTCTCCAGGATAGATCACGTCTTGGGTCACAAGTCAAGCCTCAGTAAATTTAAGAAAATTGAAATCACATCAAGCATCTTTTCTGACCACAACGCTATGAGATTAGAAATCAATTACAGGGAAGAAAATGTAAAAAACACAAACACATGGAGGCTAAACAATACGTTACTAAATAACCAAGAGATCACTGAAGAAATCAAAGAGGAAATCAAAAAATACCTAGAGACAAATGACAATGAAAACACGACGATCCAAAATCTATGGGATGCAGCAAAAGCAGTTCTAAGAGGGAAGTTTATAGCTATACAAGCCTACCTCAAGAAACAAGAAAAATCTCAAATAAACAATCTAACCTTACACCTAAAGGAACTAGAGAAAGAAGAACAAACAAAACCCAAAGTTAGCAGAAGGAAAGAAGTCATAAAGATCAGAGCAGAAATAAATGAAATAGTAGCAAAGAAAACAATAGCAAAGATCAATAAAACTAAAAGCTGGTTCTTTGAGAAGATAAACAAAATTGATAAACCATTAGCCAGACTCATCAAGAAAAAGAGGGAGAAGACTCAAATCAATAAGATTAGAAATGAAAAAGGAGAAGTTACAACAGACACCGCAGAAATACAGAGCATCCTAAGAGACTACTACAAGCAACTCTATGCCAATAAAATGGACAACCTGGAAGAAATGGACAAATTCTTAGAAAGGTATAAACTTCCAAGACTGAACCAGGAAGAAATAGAAAATATGAACAGACCAATCACAAGTAATGGAATTGAAACTGTGAGTAAAAATCTTCCAACAAACAAAAGTCCAGGACCAGATGGCTTTACAGGTGAATTCTATCAAACATTTAGAGAAGAGCTAACACCCACCCTTCTCAAACTCTTCCAAAAAATTGCGGAGGAAGGAACTCTCCCAAACTCATTCTATGAGGCCACCGTCACCCTGATACCAAAACTAAAGATACTACATAAAAAGAAAACTACAGACCAATATCACTGATGAATACAGATGCAAAAATCCTCAACAAAATACCAGCAAACAGAATCCAAAAACACATTAAAAGGATCATACACCACGATCAAGTGGGGTTTATCCCAGGGATGCAAGGATTCTTCAATATATGCAAATCAATCAATGTGATACACCATATTAACAAATTGAAGGAGAAAAACCATATGATCATCTCAATAGATGCAGAAAAATCTTTTGACAAAATTCAACACCCATTTATGATAAAAACTCTCCAGAAAGTGGGCATAGAGGGAACTTACCTCAACATAATAAAGGCCATATATGGCAAACCCACAGCAAACATTATTCTCAATGGTGAAAATCTGAAAGCATTTCCTCTAAGATCAGGAACAAGACAAGGATGTCCACTCTCGCCACTATTATTCAACATAGTTTTGGAAGTCCTGGCCACAGCAGTCAAAGAAGAAAAAGAAATAAAAGGAATACAAATTGGAAAAGAAGAAGTAAAACTGTCACTGTTTGCAGATGACATGATACTATACTTAGAGATTCCTAAAGATGCCACCAGAAAACTACTAGAGCTAATCAATGAATTTGGTAAAGTTGCAGGATACGAAATTAATGCACAGAAATCTCTTGCTTTCCTATATACTAATGATGAAAAATCTGAAAGAGAAATTAAGGAAACACTCCCATTTACCATTGCAACAAAAAGAATAAAATACCTAGGAATAAACCTACCTAGGGAGACAAAAGACGGGTATGCAGAAAACTATAAGACACTGATGAAAGAAATTAAAGATGATACCAACAGATGGAGAGATATACCATATTCTTGGATTGGAAGAATCAATATTATGAAAATGACTATACTACCCAAAGAAATCTACAGATTCAATGCAATCCCTATCAACTTACCAATGGCATTTTTTACAGAACTAGAACAAAAAATCTTAAAATTTGTATGGAGACACAAAAGACCCTGAAAAGCCAAAGCAGTCTTGAGGGAAAAAAACGGACCTGGAGGAATCAGAGTCCCTGACTTCAAACTATACTACAAAGCTACGGTAATCAAGACAATATGGTACTGGCACAAAAACAGAAATATAGATCAATGGAACGAGATAGAAAGCCCAGAGATAAACCCACACACCTATGGTCAACTAATCTATGACAAAGGAGGCAAGGATATACAATAGAGAAAAGACAGGCTCTGCAATAAGTGGTGCTGGGAAAACTGGACAGCTACATGTAAAAGAATGAAATTAGAACACTCCCTAACACCATACACAAAAATAAACTCAAAATGGATTAGACACCTAAATGTAAGACCGGACACTATAAAATTCTTAGAGGAAAACATAGGAAGAACACTCTTTGACATAAATCACAGCAAGATATGTTTTGCTCCACCTCCTAGAGTAATGGAAATAAAAACAAAAATAAACAAATGGGACCTAATGAAACTTCAAAGCTTTTGCACAGCAAAGGAAACCATAAACAAGATGAAAAGACAACCCTCAGAGTGGGAGAAGATATTTGCAAACGAATCAACGGACAAAGGATTAATCTCCAAAATACACAAACAGCTCATGCAGCTCAACATTAAAAAAACAAACAACCCAATACAAAAATGGGCAGAAGGGCTTCCCTGGTGGCGCAGTGGTTGAGAGTCCGCCTGCCGATGCAGGGGACGTGGGTTCGTGCCCCGGTCCGGGAAGATCCCACATGCCGCAGAGCAGCTAGGCCCGTGAGCCACGGCCACTGAGCCTGCGCGTCCGGAGCCTGTGCTCCGCAACGGGAGAGGCCACAACAGTGAGAGGCCCGCGTACCGCAAAAAAAAAAAAAAAATCGGCAGAAGACCTAAATAGACATTTCTCCAACGAAGACATACTGATGGCCAAGAAGCACATGAAAAGCTGCTCAACATCACTAATAATTAGAGAAATGCAAATCAAAACTACAATGAGAACGGGCTTCCCTGGTGGCGCAGTGGTTGAGAGTCCACCTGCCGATGCAGGGGACGTGGGTTCGTGCCCCGGTCCGGGAAGATCCCACATGCCGCGGAGCGGCTGCGCCCGTGAGCCATGGCCGCTGA